AAAAAAAAAAAAAAACAAAAAAAAAACGGATTAAAGGGGGGAGGTCACACTGCAGAGCGGAATAACGAAGAAATAAAAAATGGGACGTGGCAAAATGGACACGAGTAAAGGTGGGGCGCTTCTTCTTCTTCTTCCCTCCGCGTGTGCTACCCGCCGGGGAAGCGCCTAAACTGCTGGAAGAGGACCTCACTGGTGAGCAGAGACGTTCCGCCCAAATACACGTCCACGCCCAGCTGCTCAGACAACTCGTACGCTTGCCTAATTTCAGGAAAAGTAATCCCTCCAAGGATGAAAATGATAATTTTTTTTCTACTCCCCGATTGTGTGGCATCTTTCCTTTCCGCCGACTTGAATCCCCACACAGTTCCCCTAGTGACATTTGCCGGCTTCTTCCCTTCTGAGGCGTTCATCTCTTTTACCTGGTGAGGGGACCCCCGGTTGTTATCCTGAACAAATGGAAACTGTCCCTTGTGTAGAGTGTCCTCATGTAACTCCATGATGATGTCTCTGATGTTGGGTTCATATCGACTTAGTTCATATTTTGCATTCTTTGCAACATTTTTGTAATGTTTAATTTTTTTTTTATTTTTTTCCAACACGTGAGAAACTTTACACGTCGCCGAGGAGTTTTCTTCTCCTGTGTGTTTCTCCACATGATTACATGTATCATGATGTATTTTTAAATTTAAAAAATGGTCAATGAAGTTTTCCATGAGGAGACCAAGTTGGGATGACTCAATAAGTCTTGCTTTATCCAACTCACTTACATTTTCATAATTAATAAAATAAAGAAGAAGAAGTCTCGCCTTTTCCTCTTGTTCATAATCATTACTCGTTATGATGGACATAACACTTTTGCAATTCTTGGTGTGTGTCAATTCCTTCCCGTACGTATCCACATTACAACACACATCCTGTTCCACCATACCGACCTGCACAATATTCTTCTTTTGTAGAATTTGAAAGGAGTTATCACATAAGTACACATGTAGCCAGTACTTCTCAATCATGTTTTCGTATTGAGGAAGGGATCGCAAAGCATGTAGTGCTTCATTTGGGTTTAATACATTTTTTTTTTTAATTTTTGCTACTGCATTTTTTTCAGTAAAGGAGGTAATGTCATTTTTTATCATTTCATTTACATCTTGAATGTGTGTATGTCTGTACTTGGTCCACAGATTGTCTTCCTCCGATAGCGTCGCTTTCTTAATCTCTTTCCTTTTATCATTATTTGTAATTTCGAAACAAACCGTGTGTGCATCCTCTCCTTGGTCAGCACCTCCCCCTTCATTATGCACCCCTGGTTTAGTCTTCTTCCCCTGATGTGTCCTGATCCGTAGCACATCATAACAGAGACTCTGGTATGCATAATCGTGTGCAAACAAAATGGAACAGTCAATTGAACGGTCCAAAATTAACAAGACGTCTTCATCGTTTCCACCTGACTTGTTCAGAATATTCGAGTCACTAACACAGGTGTGAAATGTGTGTGCAAATTTTCTACACAAAGGAGAATTGTGATAACGTACAAGAGGATTACTCTTCAAGCAAGCACAAACAGAAAGTAACTCCAACGCAAGGTCTCCTAACATGTTTGAATCCTTTACAGGATAAAAATCATATAAATTTAATTCATGGTCCAAATAAAATATTCTACTTTCAAATGCAAAGAACGAAATGTTGAAGCATGCACATGTTTTCATCCTCTTCAATAAAAAATCGCTAGTTGCTAGCAGGTTTAAAATTTCTTTATTTTTTTTTCCAACATTGGAAGTAAATAAAATGTGGACATTTTTGTACATTGCATTTTGCTCATCCTTGAAGTCTTCTAACATCCTCTCAACGATTTCCAATTTTGAAGTCAGGAAATACATACAATCGAAATCTTGTAGTTTGTTTCGCTTAGCGTCAATCTGTTCCACGAGGGACACACCACGTTCCAACAACTCCTCGCTCTTGCAAATCATGGAGAGCACTTGCTGAGCACTCGGGTCCACCACCATGATCACGTACTTGCTCACTTGGGTGATCTTCTCGATCACGTTGAACAGCCGCTCCCGGCAGTTCTGCTTCAGCGACATTTTGGTATGTGGGGGGTGGAGAAGTCACAGGGGTATTTTTGCCATGCACGATGCGCGACGCGCGATGAGCGATGTGCGCTCGAGAGGGCTTCCACGTAAAACCATCGGCCCGGAGGCGGACAAATGATAAAAAAGGGGGAACAAGCGGGTCACCAAAACAAAAGGGCGGCCGGACGACTCCCCCGCCCAGGTGGCAACTCCTCCACTAGCTCAAATGTAGCCACAAGCGGAGAATGCAAAAGGGGATATTACAAAGGGGACAATACTATGTGGTGGGCCCCTTCACATGCAGAGCACCGCGCGTTTACAATTTATTTATTTATTATTATTTTTTTTTTATTATTTAAATAGGCAAGCCTCGGGATGCGGCACGCGTGACGCCGCTTTTTTCCGTGTCGTCATTGCAAACCATTTTTACGGAGCATTTGTTGCAGAACATTGTGTGATGACCGAACGTGCTGTGAACCGCGTTGACCTTTTTCCACACATGCTTGCATGCGCGCGCACCTTCCGGAGGAGCCACACGCATCCCCATCCGGCCGCGGTATAATTGCCAATGTGTCGTCCTTCACCAATTGAGACCAAGATCGCGCAAAGCGCCGCGCGAGGAACGAAACTGAGTAGAACTATGCACAGAAAGGAAAGCACATTCGAACACCCTATCCATTTCCCTTTTCGCATAAATGATGAAGCGCGCAGGGGTGGTACCTCCACACAAACATTCACAACGCTTCCCCTTTTTTAAAACTGTGCAGGGGGACATGTGCCCCCTATGCAGGCATTCACCCCAAGTGGGTGAAAGTCACCCTGCTGCCGACAATAACGACTAGCCGTTAACTACCCTTTTAAAGAAAAAGTAAAATGCCTACTCACATTTGGCCACTCGCGCGATAACGTCGAAGTTAGGCGAAATGCTGTGACGACCTAGATCAGTCTAATGGAAAAAAACTGCTTCTCTTGCGGATGTGCAGTTTGGGCTTTTTTTTTTTTTTTTTGGAATGCCCCCCCTTGCCGCATGTTTTTCGTGAAGGGAGGTATAATAAACTTTTTCTGTGAGGGGGTCACACTCCACCTCCACATTATAAGACGCATACAATAGACTAAGACCCTGTGTTGTTACTTATAACAAAAACATGAGATACTATTTTTCAATGTGTCCTCCGAGTGGTGAGCAGCCTAATGAAGGAACGTTTTAGCTAGTTTTTTTTTTTTTTTTTTTTTTTTGTTGCTGACCCGTTCAGGCGAAAAGTTGGCTAGTTGCTTAAAAAGGATGCGAAAAGTTATGACCGTGTCATAATAATTTTTTTTTTACCTTAATTGTTCGTATGCACACGTGTCTGTTTAGTGGAGAGTTGTCACTTGCTCGTAATCTCATGTGTGCAATCGAGTGTGCGCGGGTGCGTTTAAGTGTTCTTAGATCAAAGCATGCATTTGCACCTGGGCCTGAACTAATTTTACTATTTTCGCGTTACTTCTGTTCTGCATTTGTGTTGACTCAGAAAAAAAAAAAAGATCAACAGTAAGGCACCAAAAAGGAAAATGATGAAGAGAAGGAGAATTGCTTTCATACGTGCTCTGCTGCACTCTTTTTTTTTTTTGTAAAAATGTGCACCCCTGCCTTTTTGTTTGTAAAGCACAGACTGGCTAGGCGCGTGCTGCTGCTTACATTAAAATTACTCACGTTTCGCTGCCTCCACCTGTTTTGTCATATAAGCCACCAGTGATTCCTCCAGAGGGTTTACATAGCCGTTTGCATGTGCATAAGTGGAGCCTCCACCCAAGTCTGTGCGTGCACATAAAATACACACACATGTGTGTGTAGTCCTCTTTTTTTTTTTTTTTGTCCCCCTCCCCCGCGTCCAATCATTTGTGCACAGTATGCAACTGCGTCAATTTGCTTTTCAACCTGTGCATAAAATGGTACTTGGTTGAGGAGCATAATCACATTTTATCTCCATCAGACTAATGGAAATGAAAACAGACATTCACACACTCAACCGTATGCGCGCTTGCCCGTCTTTTTTTTTTTTTTTTTTTTTTCCATTTTTCCACATAGCCCCAGTTTGCTACTTCTTTGTCCTTTTATCGTTTTGATCTATCAGTCGCTCTGGTGTCCTCTCTTGCGGCGATTTTTTAGTTAGCGCATTTGGTTTCTTTTTCCACGTTTTAAATCCCTCTCCTGCCGCGTTTGCTCTTCCTTTATGTCCTCTTTATGCACAAGCGTTCAGACCATTTTGCGCATTGCGCACTGCACCCGTTTCCCTCTTGATCCAATTTTATGTTCGGGAACTAAAACCGGCCCGGGGTGGTGCGCATACACACCCCGCTATGACTTGTTGTGCATACGCGTGGGTGTGTAAAGGAGGACGTATTATTATGCGTTCGTCTCTCCGCGCTTGTGCGTAACTAGGTGTGTACGTGTTGGGACACGAGTTGACGCACGAGTTTGCATTATTTTTTTTTTCCCTATTTTTTTCACATTTTTTTTTGCCCTGTTTTTTCCATTTTTTTTTTTTTTTTTGGCTTTCTGTTTTTTTTCCTGTTTCCGTTGACACTTAATTTTTAGTTTTAATCTCCAATTTTCTTTTTTTTTTATTGGTGAATTAGTCCTTTCGTTGTATGCTTTCATTTTTTTATTTTTATTTATTTTTTTCTCTCTTTGCTTTTTTATTTTGGCTTCCTTTTCAATTCTCCATTGTGAGTTTTCCACTTTAAAATTTAAGTGGCGTTTATGTGGCGTGTTAAAAGGCCTCCTTAAATCGCCTTCGTAAATCTCCATTTTTAATTTTCAATTTTCCACTTTGAATTTTCCCATTTTCAATTTCCCATTTTCAATTTCCCCGTTTTGAATATCCCTCTTTGAAGTTTTGTTCCAATCCGCGTGCCCCTCGCGAAGCACGCGCACGTCCTGGTGTTAGTATCCCAGTGCATTGGGCTCGTTTTCCGCGCGCCCCTTGAGCGAGGCGAGGGGGCCGTGTGTAAACCTGCATCACATGTACGTCAATTTTGTCGTCCATTTGTGCGAAAAGGGAAACTCCCCCGAGTACCACCTCCTCGGATGAGAGTTGTCTCTGCGTGTGAGACTTGTCCCTCGTGTGTGTGAGGCGTGCCGAAGCAGTGCCCCCCTTCGTGCACACGTGTGTATGCGCCTCGTCACACCGTGTTGTTTGTTGCACCATCCGCTTGCGGGTGAGCAGCACATGTAGGATGTATTCTCCTCCCCCCCCCCTTTTTTTTTTTTTTTTTTTTTTTTTTTTAATCTCACACCATAGTGAGTTTTTTAACTAGCCTTTAACTGTTGTGTTTATTGGTGAAGGCGTTTCCATTTTGTTTTTTTTTTTGTTGTCCTTTTTCGAGCCACAGGCGTGTGCACGTGCGCACGAACAGAGCTGACGACCTCTTGATCGAGGCGCGGATATCCCCCCACCTGCTGCGCCATGCCAACCACTTCTTAACCCCCGTGGTGTATGCATATGCGTGTTTTTTTTTTTTTTTTGTTTCTTTTTTTCTGTTTTTTCTCTGTCTGTGTAGATGGGAATGGGCGGTGCATGTATATACACTTGTAAGTGCACACGCTCGAATTCTCCGGCATACACACCAAGGCGAGTAATTGGAC